CTGAGAACTACTGATAAGTAAAAGTTTGAACCAATCAAACTAAATGACAATCTTGGCATGATTACAAATTGTAGATAAGAAAGGAGCCAAACACATATTGGCTAGAAGTTTCCATGCATTTGTATCTGAAGGGTTTTCATCCACTCATCCATTCAATAAATATTTATGGGATTCTAGCTGGTGTTAAGAATTAAAAGATAATAAGACAGGTCTCAAGTTATTCCCAGTTTGGTGAACAGTACAAACCTGTAAATAATCACATCACAATGTCCTGCAAGTTTGCTACCAGATCTATCTTTCTATCATATATATCATATATATTACTGTATATATAAACTTACATACACATCTATCTATATCATGTGTATTACTATATATAACTATATATTACTGTACATATAAATTTATATACTTACCTCTAACTGTAATATGTATACATATTACTATATATAACTATATGTATATTAATATATATGGCAAAAAACTTACATATATAAGTGTGTGCATATATAGTAAATATATGCATAGTAAATATATACATATACATAAACACATATACAGATATGTGTATATATATGTGTGTGTGTGTGTATATATATATATATATATATATATACACAGTTATATAGGAAAGTGATAGATTTAGGTTCAATACACTCAGGACCACACCTATTGGAACAGTGAGAATATAGAATGGCTATAAGTTAGTTAAAGCAAGACATTCTTATGATGCTGAGTACACCTATATAATAGAATATGGATTTAGAAAAAGGTGATTTTTAAAAAATAAAACAAGTGAAGTTATTGCCCTTTGAAACTCAGTAGACAGGTTGAAATATACAGTAAAGATAAGGGAACACGGGGCAGACAGCAGCAGCAGGGAGGTGGGAGGTGAGGCTGCAGTGGAGGTCCCCTGAGATCACAGGTGTGGGGCACCAGGAAGCCCATACCCCAGGGTCCCAGCGGCATCCATCCTCCCAGTGAGCAGCCAAACAGGGTCCTAAGCATCACCAATTGCCTCAGGGGACAAAATCATTTCAGGTGAGACACATCGCCCTTAAGAGATAAGTGAAACAATTATCACTGACCTATTTCACTCACAGTTAAAGCAACAAAAAATCCCCCCAAATCCATGGGGACATTGTAAATTATACAGAATTCTAAACACAGTGAGCCCAAAGGAGGATGTTCTGAAGAGAGGTTCACAGAAGCGCAACAGCTCTGTGTATATGATCATATAAAATAGTATCTATCTAAATGAACTCCAAGAAATGGAAATGAGAGTTCTTGTTTGTTATCCATTGTTGCTATTTTTGCTTTTGGTACCTGTGTCTTTTTGTAAGTTGGCTTGGGAGAAGGAAAACAGGAGCACAGAAAGGTTGGGACAAAGGGTAAACAAATGCAGCAGTGGCACTCACTGGACACTATGTTGAAAATGAACTATACAACTTGTGGGGGATGGGACAGGAGGGAAAAACGGAGGGAATGAGGGAAGGGGTAACATTGTTCGAAAAGAAATGTACTCATTACCTGACTTTATGTAACTGTAATCCCTCCGTACATCACCTTTACAATAACAATAAAAGATAAATAATAAAAAGGAAAGTAGGCATTGAATATAATAGTGAATAAAATAATTAAGTGATTTTTTTCCTGATGTGCAAATACAGTTTTGTATTTGAAAATCTAGAAATATCCTAACTCCACGAAAGATGAAGAATTCTCTATCGTTTCAATAGATACTACACACACACACACACACACACACACACACACACACACACATCTATATTAAAATCTCCACAGTAATCAGTGGCAGGCAGCTCTTTTCCTTATTGGTTCCTTAAATCGACATCTTGTATGAATCCATCTGCACTGTGAATCAAAAATATGCTCTAGTTTCCAAGCTATGCCTGAGGTAAGGAGCTGCCAATACCAGAGAGCTAATCAGAAGGGTCTTCCAAAAGTTTCTATGTCTTTAAAGAAAAGTTGAAGAGTTAAAATGAACTAACCAGGCCATTTACAAACGTATCGATTCCACTGAAGGGCAGTCTTTAGGTGTATTTTAATAGCACAACAAATGTGCACTATCATGTTGAGTTGAACCAAAAAGCAAAAATTCAACTGAGATTAATGCAATGAAAAACGTCTTCTCACCTGAGCACTTCCTTGTATGGCCACAGCTTTCCATAAAATGTTGTTCTTTGAACCCAACTGACTTTTACAGTGACAGGCAAATATAAGAACAGGCTCATTAATAAATGCTGACATGAATTGTAATGCTCAATTTTTAGGGACTTCAGAAATGTACTGGATTTCAAAATGACTTCTGTAATTTTAAATTTAAATACGCACATAAACAAACCTGAGGCAATTATATATTCAACTACCAAGAAATCTGAATCTCTAGCATTATCTCATCTGCCAACTAGGCGGACAAATAGAGGACAGACAAATAGAGAGAGGAAGTGTGGGTGAAGGAAGTCAGTCACTAGACTCAACTTACATATGTCAAAAGGGAAGGAGGGAACTTTGGAGGATAGGTTAGTTGGTTTGTATGATCACTGAAAGATAATAAAACATACTTAAAAGCTAAAAAAAATGTAAAGGATGCTGAGCTGAATGAGCTTGAGGAAAATGGGCTTTTGTTGACCAAGTTGCTTTGCTCTCCTTAACTATTCTTAGTTCTGCATCTTGGTAAGCAGTCAACATTAGCTCATTATCAAAGTCTTGATTCTGAGAGATCCTGACCTCCATATAGTAATACAGTTTGTATAAGTAGATTTCAGTTAAATGAAACTGTGGAAAGCTCTTCTCCAAATATATTAATATTCATACAGGTGACCAAGAGTAATTAACTTCAACTAAATTATGAGATGCATGCACATAAATAAGCTACTGGTTAGAAATTCTATCATGGTTTATCAACCAAATAGCTATTTTAAAAATGAGCTGGTGGCTCATGTCTGTAATCCTAGCTACTCTTGAGGCTGAGATTTGAGGATTGCAGTTCAAAGTCAGCCTGGGCAGGAAAGTCCATGAGACTCTTATCTCCAATTAATCACCAGAAAACTGGAAGTGGCGCTGTGGCTCAAAGTGGTAGAGTGCTATCCTTGAGTGAAAAAGCTCAGGGACAGTGCCCAGGCCCTGAGTTCAATCTCATAACTGACAAAATCATTATCATCATCATCTTCATCATCATCATCATCGTCGTCGTCGTCGTCTTCATCATCGTTGTTGTCATTGTCGTAGTTACTGTTGTTGTCATCAACATCGTTTTACCGACTAGCAATGCTTATTTACCATGTTAGACACTTGATGTAGAGCTATAATGATGGCAGTGATGATAGTCCCAGGACTTAGTTGAAGAGAAGGAAATAGGTCACTTCCTGTCAGGTAAGAGAAGACTCATGATGAGTGATAGGACAATATTCACGGAGTATATGCTGTGTTGGTCAGTTGTGATCCATGGTTAACTCCTGGCCTTTACAACAGGGACTCCTTGATCCCTCCTTCTCCCCAACACTGAATCCATTCAGAGAATGCTATTGCCAAACACCAGTCAGAACGAGGTATTATTATGTGTGAATATAAGAGAGTATAAGTGAATTTAAGGCTTGCCCTAGGGAATTTATAGCTTTTCTGGAAGAAGTTCCTGACCTGGGTGAAGCCTTTCTCAAAAGCCCACATTCCATCACACATCGCCTTCCCAAGCCTTACAAGGAGGAATTGCTGAAGCCAGCAACCCTATCAGACCCATGGCTCCAGCCCTGCATGCTCTTAGTGGGGCTGGGTGTCCTTTGACTGTTCTCCTTTACCCAACCACATCATTCACATTTTTCCCTCGGAAAGAGGCACTGTAAAGTGTTTGAAATGGATGTGGTTTTCTTCAGGCAAATGAGAATACTCAATTCAAATGAACACATTTTCTATGGTGATCTTAAAGAAACAAAGAAACAACATTGCCTAAATAAATAAAATGCTCAAATATTTTTAGTAGGAGAATAGATGGAAAAAAATTCAGAGGAGCTAGTCTTAAGACTTTCTACAGATGATCCTTTCAGTGTCAAATTTCCCTTACTACAGCTTCACATAAGGAAACACTCTCTAGGCCCCTAATTCTATCGGAGATGAGCAGAAATGGAGTTCACAAACAAACACTGTGCTGAGTGTTCACAACACATCACCTGATCCAAGTCTCATAGCAACTTTGGTGGCTTTAGGAGCTCCCATTATCCTACATTTTTAGGATGAGGAGAACCTTAGCAAGATTAAAGAATATGCTCAATGTTACAAAAATAGGAAGTGATGGAGTTGGAACTAAATCCAATGTGTTTTTGTATACTGTGCACTTGACCTCATGCGATATGTCTTAATGTGGCATCTAAGGTTGACATACGGTTCACCTGTCCCCTTTTACTAAATAGCACCTTCTAGGAAGAATTTCCTTCTCATTAATTTTTATATCTCTATAGCAGGGGATAATGCCTGATACAGAACAGGAAATCAATGCTTGTCAAATGAGTAAGACGATAAATTAATAAAGGAAGGAAGAAGGAATAAAATTAAAAAGAAGCCAGAAAATTGAAATTAGTGTACAAGCTATCATTTATTTTGCGGTGAATTTTCTGTCCCTCTATTTCTCTTTGTAAGAACATGTGAGTATTTTATGATAAGCACCATTATTGCTTTAGATTTCTATGAAAGACATTCAGAAATAGGTATTTTTACCCAGGGATTTAAATGAACGATTGAAATTCCATAATCAGAATATGACACAACCAAACCAGCATATAATCATATGTTTCCTATAATGAGCTACTTGAAGAGTGCTAATGGATTACAATTTTGTAATCTAGGCATGAGAGGAAGATCTGCACTCTTGACAATATTCAACACAAGCACTTCAATTGGCTCTGGATAAAATACAAACTCCCTCTTGAGCATTGCCTAGATGTTCTTTCTCTCCTTATCTGTAAGCAGACAGTCTTAATTCTTACCTTCACATCCTCTGCCATCTTTCTCCAGCTTCCAGCCAGCTTGACATTTGCAGTAATAACTGCCAATTGTATTACAGCATTGCTCCTGACAGCCACCATTGCCCATAGCACATTCATTTATATCTGCAATTGAATAAAAAAGGATGAGACTCCTCAACCCAAACACACAAAAAGAAACTCTAGTGTCTGTCCTGAAATGAAGAATCACAGAGTGACAGCATTCTTTGACCTCAGATTAAATGAGATCAAATAAGTGTCTTCTTATAATCAGGGCCAATGCGTGCTAGGTTTCATGTGATGAAAGAGACAAGTCGTAATCTTTCCTACCCGAAATATTACTTTTCAACAGTTTCATACTCGTATGGATTTTAGGAGACATATAGATTGGATCTGGAAATTTCCAAGTCATTATTATAAGATGAACCTGACAACACAGAGAGAAAGCAGAATGAGAAGCGAGAAGTCACTATTTTACCCAGGAAATGTGATATGGTTGTCTTCTGAAAGAAGCCTATTTGGCAAAGGCTAGACAGTAGGAGGAAGGTAAAAGAGTAGCACATAGTTTCCTTCAGAGGTAAACATCCAGCTGGGGTACAGGACTAGAACAAAATGTGATTTGGCTGTGTTGGTGTACTGGATATGTCCAAAATGCTAAACCTGCTATTAGAAGTAGACCTCAACATTCTGTATGCCTCCTCGCCAGCTGGCATCTGGTATACAACCCAACCTCCCCTGTGAGCGGATGCATGGCCATGGTTCTGCTCAGGCTGAGTAGCTGGCGTAAGAGAACCTGTCTCATGAGAGGGCTGTAGCTGGAAGATGGAGGAAGTGAGCATAGAGTGCAGGAAAATAATGGGGTGGGACATGAAAGAATGAGAGAAAGGAAGAGGAAGTCTGAGGAATTAGGAGAAGGGACTGGAGAATGGATTAGTAAGGAACACCAGAAGTCAAGGCTTTCTCATCTTTTTTTTTGGGGGGGGTCCGGTCGTGGGGCCTGAACTCTGGGCCTGGGCGCTGTCCCTCAGCTCTTCAGCTCAAGGCTAGCGCTCTACCACTTGAGCCACAGCGCCACTTCCGGCTTTTTTTTTTTGCGTATGTGGTGCTGAGGAATCGAACCCAGGGCCTCATGCATGCAAGGCAAGCGCTCTACCACTGAGCCACCTTCCCAGCCCTCAAGGCTTTCTCTAAATGGAGAAAACACAGAAGCAAGAGCAGCAGATACTGAAGGAACAAGGAGAGGAGAAAATAGGCAGAAAGCTATCATGTGTAATTACTGGACAGTAATGATTTTGTCTATGAGTATACAACCCCACAGAACACATCTGCTTGCTTTTAACTTTCCAGTGAAATATGTCATATATACTGATGGTGTAGCATTCTTAGGTATGCTTGCTTTAATAATTTTGCAGAAACAAAATGTACAAAAGCAATGTTTGTAAGATGCTGGGGATCCAACTTCTAGCCTTGGGCCCATTAAGCAAGTGCTCTGTCATTGAGCTACACCCCTGGGATGCCCATGATCTTAACACAGTGCCAGAACAGGATCTCAATTGTACTCTGGCTGGCTTGTAACAGTACTACCCTAGTACCAGTACTGCCTAAGATCATTACAATCCAAAAGGCGACATATGGTATATAATGCCTTAATTATACAATATATATCTAAATCTTTCTATCTCTATAGATATAATTGCACTTTTTTGTATGCACATTTCTGTTTCATTTCTTTCATTTACACTCCTGTTGTTGAAAATAATTGTAGCTTCTCCATTCTTACATCAGTATAGTTATTATTGCACTCTATGAAACATAATGATACTAGTTTGTCCACTTCACAGATGATGAATAGTATTGTCCTTCTTTTCTTTTCTTTCTTTTTGTTTATTTCCTTAAGCATCGGTCATGGGGCTTGAACTGATGGTCTGGGCGCTGCCCCTGAGCTCTTTTGCTCAAGGATAGCGCTCTACCACTTTGAGCTACAGCACCATTCCCAGTGTTCTGGTAGTTAATTGGAGATAAGAGTTGCACAGACTTTCCTTCAGTGGCTGGCTTCAAACCACAATCCTCAGATGTCAACCTCTTGAGTAGATAGGATTACAGGTGTGAGCCACCTGCACTATCTTGGTCTTTCTTGATGTGAGGAATTCTCCTGCAGACATTCTCACACATGTCTTCATTGAGCTTATGCATAAATTTCTATTGGGTAAAACTATCTTAGACTGGAATTGCTGTGCCAAAAGTATGGCATGTTTTATTTTGTAGTTCTAGTCAGTAGTCTTCTAAAGAAAGATTATTCTAATTGACAGCTGTGGATTAGGGAACAGATATTATTCATTCTTGCCAATATTTGGAATATTCTGTTTTTTCCCTTTTATCTTAGATCTTCAGAAATCTTATAATAGATCATGTTGTGCCTTTAATTTTATTTTCCTAATTATTCATTACGTTAGGCACATTTTTATCTCATTGGGCATTTTGGATGACATTTATTGAAATGCTTACTCAAACATCCAGTCCATTTGTTCTATTCTTAAAATATTGGCTATTTTACTTGGGGACCTTCAAGTACAAGATCAAATGGAAATAGTGACAATGATTATCTTTGTCTTTAGAACTCTGAAGGATAGTTTTATCCTTTTACTGTACATATAAATGTATCCCATAGGGTTGTGATATATCTGTATCTATGCTTCTATGCATCTAGAGGCATTTACTTCATTAGAAGAAGAAAGTTCCTTTCCACTCCTACTTTTCTACACATTGTTACTATAAATAGGTGGTAAGTTTTACTTGTTGCTTTTACTGGCTTCCTAAAGATAATTACACAGTTTTCTTATTAGTGTTTTAACATGATTAATAATAGATTGGGTTTTGCATCTCTGAAATGACACACTATTTTTTTTTAAATTTTATTTTATTTTATTTGTGAACATACTGTACAGAGGGGTTACAATTGCATGGGCAGGATAATGCGTACATTTCTTACCAAGCATTGCAGCCTCCTC